CAGACTGCAGCTGCGTCCATCCTGCTGCCCTTGGGGAGCCAGCCTCCGCAGAGGGGAGGAGAAGGTGTGCTTCTCTCGCCTTCCACGCTCGTCCACCCGAATGTTCTGGAAGGGCCTCCCGCAGGAGGTGCTGTCATCTTCCCCTCCGTGAGTGCATTCCTCAGATGGCTCCTCCCCTCCTACGCAAGGGGCTGAGCCCTGGAGACTTGGAGTGGCACGGAGGTGACATCACGGCCTTGGGGGACACTGGTGACAGCCTCCGGGAAGGGTCATGGACAAGAGGAAGGGTCCTGACCCCCTGCGTCTCCTGCTGGCCACTTGCGGTGAGCACGTGAGCACGGGGCGTCTCTGGAGAGCAGTAGCTGACCAGTGAGAGCAGTGTTCCCAGAAGAGGGGCCCCAAACCCCTCTTCAAAACCTGTTGAGGCAGGGCTGCTGGGGTTGGGGACCCGGCTCCCCAGATGTTCGGACAGATGCCGAGCCTCATACTGCCTAGCCAGGCCTGGGTTCTCTCGCCTTCCCCAGGCACCACCTGAGGGCCATGAGCCCAAGGCAGGCAGTGCCCCTCCTCTGGGGTCTCGGTCCTTCCCTCTGGCGGCTGCCCTCATCGACAGGTGGGGATTCCCTCACAGCTGCTGGTGGGTTGTCCAGGCCACCTGAGTGTGCTGGCAGTTACTCTGAGCTTGGGGTGTCCCTGGGGACTGGGAGGAGATCTGAAAAGTGGCTGCCGCCGTGGGCTCAGCTTTCCGTCCTGTGTGGGGCCAGGACACCTGCCATGGTGGGTTTCCTGGAGGGTGGCAGCCCCATCTGTAGCCCCTCCCCAGGAGGGTCTCCTGCTTGTCACACCTGAGGAAGGTAGGCACCGTAGCCAGGCTCGGCCACTCAGGGTCCAGAGTTGGGCCTCCTGGGCTTCACTTGCAGGTTAGGGGCTGGCGCCAGCCAGGGTCAAGGATGGCTTAGGTTCTTGAGTGAGCGGCCTGTGGACACTGCAGACAACAGGACCTGCAAGCCTGGAAGAGGCCCCTGCCAGTCCAGCTCTGGGCCCAAGGCATGCCTGCCCCTTTGATAAGTCAGTTAAGCTGGGTGGAGCCGGAGTGCCTGGCAGCGTGCTGTCCACAGGCATTCTGGGTTCGAGGCAGGGGCGAGGATCTGGCAGGAGGGGAGGGACAGCTGGGGCTGGCTGTGCTCCCTGGCCTGCACAGGTGGGCCCGCAGGCAGGGCGCTCCCCGAGTCGGGGGCAGCTGCTCCAGGCCGGGCAGTGTTGAGCCAGGTGCCTGCACAGGCCCCCCTGTGGCAGTAAGGAAAGGCTGTGTGGGCAGGAAGTGGAGAGGAACTTGCCCCCTGGTGGGCAGCGAGAGACAGTGGCACACAGAGTCACACGGGCGGCACTTACTTGTGTTCAGTGTGACTCTCTTCTGTGAACACCGCCGTGGGAGCACATGGGAATGACAGAATGAGTGATGAGACCGCGCTGCAGCGTTGACGGGGCGGGGACGCGGCAGAGGCGCAGGGCCTGGCAGGGCTCCTGGCCGTGCGGGTCCTTTCCCCAGCGCGCAAGCTCACGTTTACAACGGGCAGCTCACAGCCTGGCCGCCTTTGGCTTGGGACAGCGTGGGCCACTTAGAAACAGAGTTGGCGGGGCAGGCGCCGTGGCTAGCGGGTTATTAAGCTGCTGCTTGGGACGCCAGCGCTGAGTCCTGGAGTGCTGGTGCAGGCCCCACTGCCGACCCAGCTCCCTGTAATGCGCCTGGGAGAGCAGTGGGTGGAGCCTCAGGTGCCTGAGTCCCTGCCACCCACACGGGAGCCCTGGATGGGGCTCTGGCTCCTGGCCTAGCCCCGGCCGTTGTGGCCATTTGGGGAGTGGACCAGCAGATGGAAGACCTCTCTCCCTCCCTCTCTGTCACTCTATATTTCAAATAAATAGTTAAAATCTTTCACAAAAATATGTCCAGGAAGAGAAATGGCAGCATTGAAGCATTGAAGGAGGTCAGCTTCTGCCTGATGTGCTCTGAGAACAAACTCTCCGCTGGCTCCCTGGCAGGGTCCTGGGCCAGCGTCCCTTGCGGGGTCCTGGGCCAGCGTCTCTGCAGCTCAGGCAGCATGAGCCTGCATTTGTAGCAGGGAAAACCACCCCACCCTACAGTGCCAGTGTATGCCGCCTGATGACACGCAGCTCAGGGCGTCTGATCTGGCCACACTCTCGGGGCTTGTCCGTGCTCTGCCTGGCATGCTGTGGGAAATACCCACCAGGGAGCTGGAGAGGCAGAGTGCAGGGCGCTCCACCCTCTGCGGTGGCCCCACTCGCTCTGGTTAATACACGATGTTAGGCCGGCGCCGCGGCTCACTAGGCTAATCCTCCTGTGGCGCCAGCACCCCGGGTTCTAGTCCCGGTTGGGGCACCGGATTCTCTCCCAGTTGTTCCTCTTCCAGGCCAGCTCTCTGCTGTGGCCCAGGAAGGCAGTGGAGGATGGCCCAGGTCCTTGGGCCCTGCACCCCATGGGAGACCAGGAGGAAGCACCTGGCTCCTGGCTTCGGATCAGCACAGCGCCGGCCACAGCAGCCATTTGGGGGGTGAACCAACAGAAAAGGAAGACCTTTCTGTCTCTCTCTCTCACTGTCTAATTCTGCCTGTCAAAAAGAAAAAAAAGAAAAATACACGATGTTATTCACTGGGTCCTGCAGCTGCGTAGTCATTATGTTGCCAAGCAACGCCCTGGCTGTGGGTGGAGCCCACAGGACTCTCCTGCCCTTGAGGCACCGATCACAGCACATCCTCCCTTGGCTCCTCCCTTTTCAGTTGGCTTTTAAATCGCATCCATATAGAAACATGAGACTAAAAAACAAGCAGGAGTTAAGTGAGACGCTCAGGATGGACTGCGGCTTCACCAGGCAGTGCCTGTTCATTGGAGCGGGGGAGTCGGCAACGCCAGCGGCTTCTGCACTGCGTTTGGCATTTGAGCAGCAGGTGGACATGGGCCAGAGGCTGCTCCGTGCTCGCTTGCCCACCCACCCGTGGCTTACAGCAGCCTGCTTAAGCCCGGGTTGTAGCCCTGAGCCCCTACCTGACATGTAAAGTAGTCCTTCTAAACCATGATCTTACTGATTTGCTCTGTTTCCATAGCCTCCTGAGAGGGTGGCACTGGACAGAGGGCCCCGGGCCTGACGTGTGGGGACACAGCTTCGTGGTGCAGCCAGGCCCAGATGCGGCCCCATCGGCATGTGCATACACTCAGGCCTCACAGCCCTCCAGGCCTGGCCTCAGCGCTGCAGTGAATAATGGTTGGATGGGCGGCTGCTGGGTCTTATGCCTGTTTCCCAGATCAAGCGGTTAAAAGACTTGACCACGGCTAAGAAGCAGACTTAGGAGTGGGGTGGGCTGCCGTGGGTTCTGTAGCCACCCACCAGGGATCCAGGTCTCCGTGCCAAGACCGTCAAAAAAGCACTGAGCTTTCAGGAAGAACTGTTCGCCCCGTGATGTGCCTTGCCCCTGCCAGCAGATTCACGAGCACAGGTGTCCCCCTGGACCAGAACAGCCGCTCAGAGTCCAGAAGACACACGGGCAGCACACACCACAGTGAATCGTCTACGCCCTCGCTCACCGACATCACCATCACAGCTGAAGCCACGTACTGCCCGGCAGTGCTGGGCTAAGCCAGCAAGCAGCTCCTCTCTAGTCCGATTTGAAGAGTCTCTGCTCTGGGCAGAGAGGATTTTATTTTTATTTTTTTAACAGAACAAGAGGCGCTTAGGCCAGTTGTGCTCAGCTGCTGTGTGTCACTGGGCCGCAGGGCCTTGGAAAGGTGTAGGGGCTGACAGTGGTTTCTGGGAGCTGGCCTGAGCTCACCTCAGGCAGCCTGAACCCTGCCTGGGGCCTCTGGGACCTGGGGTTCTGCGGGGAGAAACTCCTCAGTGCCTGTCCCTGTCTTGGCGAGGGGAGGGCCTACCTGGAGGTCCCTTCTGCATCCACCACAGATGATGGGTGACCGAGAGGGCCCCCGGGGAGCTGGCCTGTGCCAAGCCCTCCCTGGCAGAGTGAGGCGGAAGCTCAGCCAACCTCCCTGGAAACATGGACGGGGTTCGTCCCGCCTCAGACATGGAGCCTGCTGTCTGGTGTTGCGGTTATGAAACATGATAGCTAGGCTCCTGGGCCACTGCCAGCTTTGGGTGGCAGCATCTCAGGCGAGCCGGCGGGGCTGCTTCCTCACATGGTGCCCTGGAGCACCTGCCTGGCTCCAGAGCACAGGGTCCCCGCCCCTCGCTGCACCTCCAGCAGCCTCCCTCAGGCTCTGTCAGGAGACGAATGTCTGACGGTGCCTGAGCGCTTCCACGCCGCCGCCACGTGGAGTTCAGTCCAGTCCAGCCCTTCCTGGTGCCCTGCAAGCCTCCCTCGTCACTGGCCTCTGCCTGGTGCCCGTCTTCTGGCCGCGGTCCCATGGGCATGGGGAGCCTGCTGGCCTGGGGCTTTGTGCTCACCAACCCCGTGGCTGGGATGCTGTGCTCCGGCTTTCCTGCAGGTGGTGCTGTGTCTCCTATGGCGCGCCGGCTCTCCGTGCCTCTGGCCCTGCTAACCTGTTAGCTGGCTCTGCCCTCGCAGCAGCTGCCACATGCATGTCCACTTCTCTCCTTGAGACTTCCGGTTCCCCTAGGGAGCAGGTGCTTGCTGTCTTGCCATGCAAGAGGCCCCAGCAGCTTGAATGCAGGAGATCGAGGGGCTGCTGGGCCAGTGCTTGTGCTGCTGGACCCCCCCTTGCTTCTCTGGACCCCCGGCTCGCGGCTCACACACGCAGGCTCAGTGTTGCCTTACCTGCAGGCCCAGGAGTGAGTGAGGAGGCCCCAAGTCTTCACCTGCCCCCGACTTAGCCAGAACATCCTGGGTGCTCTGCTCCCCGGCCCACAGCGTGGCCAGACCATTGCCCGTGCCCAGCACCCCCGTACGGGAAAATTCAGCACTGCGGCCGGCAGTTGAGGGGTGTGTCCCTCGCTGGCACCGACTCCGCAGACAAGGGAGCTGTGGGTTTGCCGCTGCTGTTGAGCTTCTGCGGATCCTTCAGAAAGACCCCTTCCGTCCGCACGCTCTGCGTCTTCCCTGGGATAGCCCAGCTGGGCTGCCCAGCAGCTCTGTCCTGGACAGCATGCCTTTCTGTGTTGGATTCTGTTGTGGTTTCAGTGTGTTTGTGTTTATTAGAGAGGCGGGAGACAGAGCTGGAGGAAGATATCCCATCCGCTGGTTGACGCCAGACTCCACCTTGGTCTCCTGCGTGGGTGGCAGGGACCCTAGGACTGGAGCCCTCACTGCGGCCTCCCACAGTGCACATCAGCAGGAAGCTGGGTAGGAGACAGAGCCTGTGGTGACTTAACCGCTGTGCCAGATGCCCAGCCCGGGGCACGGTGTTTCCCGCAGGTCCGAGAGAGGCGTCTGACGTCGCAGCCCGGAGAAAACTGCTCCATCATCATCCTTTTGATTGCACACCTGTAATGAAGACCTCTGCCGAGTCCGCGCCACGCCTTGTGCCAGGGACATCTTTTAGCAGAGGAAGTACAGTCAGATGTGCCCGGGGAGCAGGGACCAAGGCGCCCGTTTCTGCCTCCCCTGCCACCCCACTGGGCTCTGACAAGCGCAGTGAAGAAAGAATCTGGGGTGAGGTCAAGGTCAGGTCAAGTTCAGCCGAAGTTGGTGCCGCTAGGGAGTGAAGACTGTGGAACTCCAGTGTCCCTTGCTTGGGCCACCAGAACTTGTTGCCATGGAAGTGGGTTTTTTTTGCACCACTGCTTGTCATTTCAGAAAGCATCAGTGGTTTTCCATTTTCCTTAGAAAGACTCGTTTCTTTTCCTCAGTAGGGATTCCCTTATCCAATTTTGTGCCTCATTTTGCTCAGGTCATTTGCAGCCCTTCATTTTTACATGGTGCTGAGACAGGTGATGCTGGCTGCCAGGACACCAGGCCTGGGTGGCAGACATGTAGGCCTGCTGGGCAGGGGCCCAGACTCCCAGCTGTGTGCAGTGCAGCACCGGGGAGGGATGAGCTTGGTCTCTGACCTCGTGCTGGCCTGTTCTCGTCCATGTCTAGAGGCTGTAGCTCCCATCCCCAGCACTAGGATCCTCGTGCCGGCCTGTTCTCGTCCGCGTCTAGAGGCTGTAGCTCCCACGCCCCAGTACTCTGACCTCGTGCCGGCCTGTTCTCGTCCGCGTGTCTAGAGGCTGTAGCTCCCACCCCCAGCACTCTGACCTCGTGCCGGCCTGTTCTTGTCCGCGTCTAGAGGCTGTAGCTCCCGTGCCACAGCACTCCGACCTCATGCCGGCCTGTTCTCGTCCATGTCTAGAGGCTGTATCTCCCACGCCCCAGCACTCCGACCTCGTGCTGGCCTGTTCTCGTCCGCGTCTAGAGGCTGTAGCTCCCACGCCCCAGCACTCCGACCTCGTGCCGGCCTGTTCTCGTCCGCGTCGAGAGGCTGTATCTCCCACGCCCCAGCACTCCGACCTCGTGCCGGCCTGTTCTCGTCCATGTCTAGAGGCTGTAGCTCCCACGCCTCAGCACTCTGACCTCGTGCCGGCCTGTTCTCGTCCATGTCTAGAGGCTGTAGCTCCCACGCCCAGCACTCTGACCTCATGCCGGCCTGTTCTCGTCCGTGTCTAGAGGCTGTAGCTCCCACGCCTCAGCACTCTGACCTCGTGCCGGCCTGTTCTCGTCCGTGTCTAGAGGCTGTATCTCCCACGCCCCAGCACTCCGACCTCGTGCCGGCCTGTTCTCGTCCGTGTCTAGAGGCTGTAGCTCCCACGCCTCAGCACTCTTACCTCGTGCCGGCCTGTTCTCGTCCATGTCTAGAGGCTGTAGCTCCCACGCCTCAGCACTCTGACCTCGTGCCGGCTGTTCTCGTCCGTGTCTAGAGGCTGTAGCTCCCACCCCCAGCACTCTGACCTCATGCCGGCCTGTTCTCGTCTGTGTCTAGGAGGCTGTAGCTCCCACGCCTCAGCACTCTGACCTCAGTGCCGGCCTGTTCTCGTCCAGTCTAGAGGCTGTAGCTCCCACACCCCAGCACTATGTAGGATCTCGTGCCGGCCTGTTCTCGGTCCGTGTCTAGAGGCTGTAGCTCCCACCCCCAGCACTTCTGACCTCATGCGGCCTGTTCTCGTCCGTGTCTAGAGGCTGTAGCTCCCACGCCCCAGCACTCTGACCTTGTGCCGGCCTGTTCTCGTCCGTGTCTAGAGGCTGTAGCTCCCACGCCCCAGCACTATGTAGGATCCTCATGCCGGCCTGTTCTCGTCCGCGTCGAGAGGCTGTAGCTCCATCCCAGCACTCTGACCTCGTGCCGGCCTGTTCTCGTCCGCGTGTCTAGAGGCTGTAGCTCCCACCCCCAGCACTCTGACCTCATGCCGGCCTTTTCTCGTCCGTGTCTAGAGGCTGTAGCTCCCACCCCAGCACTCCGACCTCGTGCCGGCCTGTTCTCCGTCCGCGTCTACAGGCTGTAGCTCCCATGCCCAGCACTCTGACCTCGTGCTGGCCTGTTCTCGTCCACGTCCTAGAGGCTGTAGCTCCCGTGCCCCAGCACTCCGACCTCGTGCCGGCCTCTTCTCGTCCGCGTCTAGAGGCTGTAACTCCCGTGCCCCAGCACTCTGACCTCGTGCCGGCCTGTTCTCGTCCATGTCTAGAGGCTGTAGCTCCCGTGCCCCAGCACTCTGACCTCGTGCCGGCCTGTTCTCGTCCGCGTGTCTAGAGGCTGTAGCTCCCGTGCCCAGCACTCTGACCTCGTGCCGGCCTGTTCTCGTCCGTGTCTAGAGGCTGTAGCTCCCACCCCCAGCACTCTGACCTCGTGCCGGCCTGTTCTCGTCCGTGTCTAGAGGCTGTAGCTCCCACGCCTCAGCACTCCGACCTCATGCCGGCCTGTTCTCGTCCATGTCTAGAGGCTGTAGCTCCCACACCCCAGCACTCCGACCTCGTGCCGGCCTGTTCTCGTCCGCGTGTCTAGAGGCTGTAGCTCCCGTGCCCAGCACTCTGACCTCGTGCCGGCCTGTTCTTGTCCCTGTCTGGAGGCTGTAGCTCCCACCCCCAGCACTTGGCCTGATTGGGTCAGAGGATCAAAGCATGGGTAAGAACTGAGCACCCAACTTACTGTCTGAGATGAGTGACCTCTGCCGTGGGCCTCAGGGCCATCTGTCCCTGGTCCAGCTCTGTGCGTCCCCCTGGGTTTGAGTGAGAAGAACATGGCCTGCAGCTGCTCAGCTGAGTGGTAAGCACGTAGTATCAGCCACAGGACAACCAAAGGGCCTGGACGCTGGGCTCGGCCTGCCCAGGCTGGTTCTGGGACCCGACGGCGGCCCTGCAGTGCCTCTGCCCGGTGGCTGTTCGCCGACTGGCCCTTCTCTGAGGCCGTCCCTGAGCAGCTTGCTTGGTGGGCGGTGGCGCTCTGTACCTTTCATGCAAGCACTCTTGACTAGCTGGCTCACCTGGGCTGCAAGGAGGGGCCCGGGACGACACCACATCTGGGGTGGGCGAGTTGGTTGTAAATGACCAGTCAGTGCTTGGCTATTCTGGATGGTCAAGCATTGGTCAGGGGTGGCCACCCAGCTGCTTCAAGAAACCCACTACAGCCTGCCAGGTGATGTGTGCCCCAGGCTCCACCCTGTGCTGGTTACCTGGAGGAACGTAGGGCAGGGCAGGCGGTCCCCAAGACACTGAAGGCTGGAAGCCCACCTTCCCTGAGTTGTCCAGCTGCCATTCAGTGCCCCCCGTGGACACAGCCCCTCCACTTGCTGGGTGGACATGCTGTGGACTGGGAACCTGAACAATGAGGCATCTGCAGGCCCACTACTGTCCCTTTTTAGCTCCTTCCTTGGCATAGACCTCACCAGCGGAGGGAAGTGAGAGCCAGGAACATGGGCTCCTGCTGGCTGTGCGTGTGGGTGACCACCGAGCCGTCTACAAAGTGGGTGCAGGGGCCCTGCCTCACTTTGCCCTGCTCCCTGGCTGTTGTGGACTTGGCCCTGCGGCTTTCCATGTGAAGCCGTGAGTGACAGTGGCAGCTCGGTGGGAAGGCCCGTGCGAGCTGGCTGTGATTGCCCTGTGGTCGCCGAGTGTGCTGTATCTGTGGGTGGGTACTACGCACCCACCAGGAGCAGGAGCTTCTCTACCTGGAGCTGCCATCTGAAGGCCGGGCAGCGGCAGGAGCCGTGTGGGCAGCGGCATGCAGTCAGCGTGCCTCTGAGGACCCACGGGAGCTGTCCTCCCCCATGCTGGAAGGAAACCGGGAGGCGCGTGCCCTCAGCCTGCACGGGCAGAGGATGAAGGTGGACTGCAGGAGTCACAACACAGAGACCCGAGAGCAAGCGCCGGGTGGGTGCAGGGCACCGAAAACCAGCAGCCACGAGGGAGCCCACGGACTCCGTGCAGCCGTGGTGGTGCCCCTCCCGGAGCACACTCACCCTGAGCCCCCCGGCCGGGTCTTGACCATGACCCCTCACTTCACCTTCATGGTGCTGCGGGTAACTCATACCCTGCCCAGTACTGCCAGCGCCTGCTCCTGGATGGGACAGGCCGACAGGAGAAACCCCAGCCCAGAGCCTCTGTCCCAGACGGCGGCAACGCCCCACGCCCCACCCCAGCTGCGTGGCTGCTCTCATGAAAGTAGCTTGAAGTCCTGTCTGGGCCTTGGTGAGGCCCTAATGGCCTCCGAGGTGGTCTTGGCAGAGTCTGCAGAGTGGACATGGCCTTGGCTGTGCGGTCCTGGGGTCCAGGAGGAGGAGAAAGGAGCACGTGTGGCCGACACGAGGGTGTCACGAGTGCCCTCTTCACGTCCACTTGGTCAGCACAGACCGCGAGCACCTAAGCCAACCGTGGGACTTACCTGGGAGCGAGGCTGGCGGACTTGGCTCCGGCCGGCAAGTCCAGGCCTTCCCCTGGCTTCACCGATTTCTCTCGGTTCATTTGCTGCAGGATTGAGTTCAATTCACTAATAACGTTTGCCTTGGGGCCCGAGAGGATCGGGCCCTTGACCTCCGTGACATCGCCCCACAACTTGGAGGTCCTCGGCTGGAGGACTTTGGCCATCCCAGGCGGGACTCCTCCTGGCGGGGGCGGGGGCGCGGGTGGGGGGAGCACAAAGCTGTCCACGTCCTCCTCGACGAGCGCGTCTTGGTAAAGTGCATTGCTCTTGGGAATTATGGGCTTCATTTTTGGCTTCGGAGGTACTGGGGGTTTTGTCAGCCCCAAAGGCTTGCCCGTCTGCATAGACCGTGCAGGTGTCCGCGCTCTCCCCGCCCTCAGAGGACAGGGTGGAGATGCTGGACACCGTGGACATGGTGCTGGTCGTCTCGAGGTGGTGGTCGCTGCCGCTCCGGCTGTCTACCTCCTCGATGCCCGAGTCGGCGACAGCATCGAGGCTCTCGGGGGGCGGCAGGAATGGGGCGGGCAGGCAGTTTGAAAGGCCAGCCGGCTTCTTAGTGTCGGCAGGGTTGATCGGCTGGGCGGAGGTCAGCGAAGGGGACGGAGGGGTGTCGTTTCTCTTCGGCTTGACCAAGTCTGTGAGAGCGGGCACGGAAGCAACGCGGTCATCGGGGATATCAAAACTGTTGGCAAATTCCAGGGGAGGAGGCAATGGCTCTGTAAAAATAAACTCCTCATCCAAGTCCACAGATGCCAGAGGGGGAGGGGGGATGCGGAATGGCAAAATCACCGCCTCTTCCATGGAGCCCGCCGGCACGATGGTCCTGCCGGGCGTGGCGGTGGGCTCGGGGGCGGCGGAGATCTGTAAAGCACCTTCGGGTTCGGCAGTGCCTTCTGGCACCTCGGCCAGTGAGCTGTCTGGCTTCAGCTCCAGGCCCGCGTGCTCGTCCTCTTCCTCCAGGGAGCCGTCGGCCTCTGTGGTGTCCACGGTGTGCACCATCAGCAGGCCGGCCGGCTTGCGCTGCGCCGTGTCCACGATGTCGATGAGCGTGTTCTTCATGCCGTCGCCTCGCCGGTCCTTGCCTGCGTCGCTCTCGTACTTGTTCTCTGTCTCCTGCCGCCGCAGGGGCCCCCGGGTGTTCTGCCTGGTGACCGGGGGGAAGCCGGCTTCCGCACTGGGCCGCATTTTGGTATCGATGTAGAGAGGTTTGTTGAGGTCGGCCTTGCGGCCTCCCCCTTGGGGCCCTGCTGGGACTCCTTAATGGCTCGGTCCCGGGCTGAGAGCGCCAGGGCCAGCGGGGAGCTGGGGTCCAGCAGCCGGCCCGTGAGCGGGTGGACGTAATTCTCTGGCCGGCTGTGGGGCTGCCCTCGGGCCCCTTGGCTTTGGATGTGGCATTGAGGGGCCTCCCGGCCTCACCCTGAGCGCTGGCTTCGCCACCACCCACAAAGTGATTCTCGGGCTCCCTGGGCGCTGCTCCTGGCGTGGGCAACACCAGCTCCTCGGCGCCATCCTCATCGCCAAAGTCGCCCTCCTCTGGGAACTCGGGGGCTGAATCCTGGGGGCGGGGAGCCCCAGGCCCACGTCCTCATCCCCCAGGTCCGTGGAGAGAAGGCCGGGGAGTTCCTCCTGGCCTCCAGCCGCTTCTCCCGGTCTCGGACGGCCCCGGCAATGGCGGCAGCGAAGGGGCTGCTGACGGTCAGGCTGTCGTCCGGCCGCAGCTGGCCCGGCGGCTCCGCGGCCTGGGGCTCGATCTCCATGCTGCTGCCCTGACTGCTCTTGCCGCTGCTGCTGGTGGAAGGCTCCTTGACGATGATGGTGGGGATGGGGATGGAGCATGTCTTCTCGGGGCTGTCCTCCACGTTGACTGCTTCACCAGCATCCCCTTCCGCCTGGCAGGCTTGGCGGGCACGTAGACGGCTTTGCTGGCGATCTTCCCCACCTCCGAGTACGGGTTCTCGGGCATCTGACCCCGCTTGTTGCGGAAGTTGGCCTGGGGGCTGGCGTTGCGGCCGTACATGTCCTCCGAGCTCCAGGGAGTAGCGGTCCAGCTCTCGGCGGTAGAAGAGCCCCTTGTCCCGCATCACGGTGGCCACCGTGTCCGACCTCATGGCCGGGGATACCTTGGCGGCGGGGGTTCTGACTGAACGCGGGCTTGACTGTCCATAGACCCTGGGGCTTGGGACTTGGGGCAGTTGTAGGTGGTGGGGGAGGGTGGCGGTGGAGATGGGGGGCAACGGCCTGGGGTGGTGGGGGGATGTCCTCAGAGGTGTCAGGCATGGACAGGCTCCTCGTGAACTTGAGCATCGGGGGGGCCAGGAACTGCCGCTCCTCCTCCGTTATCCCTGCAGGGAGGAAATATGCTGCGTTTGTGCCACGGCCACAACCAGGACCCCGTCAGCTCCGAGCGTGCAGCGCAGCCTGCGTCCCCGCAGACACACACACAGGCCAGGCATGAACCGCGCAAGCCACAGTGCCGCGAGGCCCTTCTGAGCCAGAGGTCTGTAAAGGACAGCCAGGAGGCGCAGGGTGCCGGGAGCATGTGCTGTGCCCGGTTTGGTGGGGCTCGCCGTGGTGTCGTCAGGGCCACGGGGGCCTGGGACCCAGAACCCTGAGTTGCGCAAGGCCTTGGGGCTGTCCCCGCACGTGTGGTGCATGGCTGCTTTTGGTTGGGGGCAGGGGACAGTGCTGACTGGACCAGCAGCCGCCATCCATGCCCCTTCCGTCTGTGGTGAGGGCAGAAGGCACCGGGGGTGCACACGTGGCACAGACAGCATGCAGTGCCCAGCTGCCCAGCTGCCCAGGCTCCTGGCTGGATACGTGGGACGGCCTGCTCTGCCCCACGAGGAGGTGCTGGTGTCACCCTGGGCCTGCTCCTCTCGGCCGTGCTGGCGGCTCCGGCCATCAGCAGGGCTGCGATGGGGCCAGCTCAGTGGAGCACCCCCATGAGGGGAGGGAGCTGAGGCCCTTCTTTAACCAGAGTTCCACCCCAGGTTTGCAGCAGGGTTGTGAGCCAGTGTGCCACTGATGGGACGTGGGGAGCGCTTCCTGGGGGTCGTGGAAGTGCTGGGGACTGGGTTGTGGGCGCAGCAGGCAGGGTTTGTGAGTGTGGGGTGCAGCCGACCCCCCGGATGGCTCAGCACAGGTTCGGGCATGGGCAGAGTGCACCCAGAAGGCACGCGGCACAGCACCACTCCCGGCTGGGGGGCGTGCGGGGTTGTCAGGGAGGCAGCAGAACGAATGGCTTCGGACAGACTGCGAGAGTTTACTCCAATGGAAAGTCCCATTGGATAGGGGTATTCCAAATTTAATATACTCCTGTGGGAGGGCACTCTGACATCGCAGACTGGCTGTCTGGTGCGTTCCTTATTGGCCGTTTTGCTGCATGCCCAAGGAGTAATAATTT